GTGATTTATCTCTAACTACTGCATTTTTGTTTGTGAAAATTAGGTTCAGTTCTTCATTCGTCTTGAATATGAACAAAGATTTACAAGGGAAACTCCACAGATGCCACTTCTCTTTTCATCTGATGTTTTGCCGTGAGTGTCAGAGTGTTGATAAGGAAAGCAATCGACAGACGGTATTTCTTTATGACCAGGGAGCGTAGATCAGATCATTTCTCACCCATCAAACACAAGATATTCTGAACAAATCATATACCAGACTGCAGATAAGATTTTACTCTTCTGAATGGTCTATAAAAAGCTTTATTTTATTATTACTTTTATAACATTTTCAACGAGCAGAAAAAGAATTTTTCCAAATGCTGTCCCAAAACATTCTTGACGTCCTAAATTTGACGATTTCAGTTTTTCAACGCAGTATTTGAGAAGACTTATGGTCGGAAATAATAATAATAAATTTGTGCGTTACAACATGTCTTTAAGATGTTGTAAACAAAATCAGATTTTAAACTGCCTCAACTCGTACCTAAACTTTATACCTCAAACTTCCATTTCCTTCGGAAATCGGACATGTCCCTGGAAGTTTCCACCATACATTGCCTACATAAATGACGACGATCAGGTGTCGAAGAAAGCACTATTCCAGTAACTACGGTAATTCAATTGTACAACTCTTGTCAATACAATCGTTTCTATGTATTTTCTTTTAGAGATTATATGTGCAGAGGAGAAGAAGAACAAGAGAATTTTCCATACTAGCCGTTTTTCCCAGCGATATGTTGATGGATAAGAACGACAATATGACTCAAGAAGATGTACACTAGGAAATATACGTTCTCTTTTCTAATTGCAATAATTACTTGATAGCGGAATTTTCCCCAATCGAACTATACTGCCTTATATAGACAAGAGCTTCATCATAACCATCATGCTAATAAACATATCATGCCTCCAAGTAAGAAATTTGAACGTTTTCTTAGTCAACCTGATAGTAATGGTAAACGAATTAAACTTTCTCGATCAAATTCATTGCAACATGTCACTCCTTGTGGAAAAATTGCTATTATTGGCGTTGGATCGCGTGGTTTAAGTATTCTAGAGCGTCTGACAGCCATTTATGATGAACAACCTCGTTATTATGAATTGGATATTTATTTAATTAATCCTGGACGGTATCATGGTCAAGGTGTTCACTCGTCAGAACAAAGTGACAATTTATTAATTAACACAGTAGCATGTCAAGTGACTATGTTTGGTGATGAATCAGTGCTCAATTGTGGACCAATGAGAAAGGGGCCATCACTGTTTGAATGGGCTAAAA